AAATCGTACAATTAGAAATACTATTACTATATTATTACTTGATTAATACAGAATGTATTATAGAATATTAAAAGAATATTTAAAATATTTAGAATTATTTTTTTAGAATATTTCTAAATATTTAAAAAAATATTCTTCTTTTTAAAATTCATTCTTCTGATTCAATTCTCCAGATCAATCACATTTAAAATATAATCAATATCATATTTCAAAATGTAGAATCGTACGATTAGAAATATTAATTACTTGATTAAGAACTATATTCCAGATATAATAATATAAAACCTTGGAAATATTTTTTTAAAAAACCTTCCATATTTTTATGAATCCAACCCACGCCTAGGAATTATTTATCAATACTTTATCAAAAGTGTATTACCTCCATTTAATGTAATTCCATCGATTATCGACAACTCGAAAACAATGCAACAAATATAAGAATCTGTATTGTGTCACAGAGTAGTGCACCTATCGTTTCACGCACCGCGCCAAATCAACCGCGGTTCACTGTCAACAATATGTCTCAACATCCTCGGAATTCCGCATAATCAGCTCCATATTGCGTACACGCTATTTCGAAATCGAACCTCCACGCTCTCGCGAATTCCTTTAAAAGCTCGGCTGGCCGCCTCGAATGTCACAGTTCAACGTCGAACACCGATCCAACAACAAATCCAAGGAAGAAAGAAGGGAAAGAAGAAAGGAAGAAATGAGTCTCAACATAAGTTTCGTCCTTCTGTTGCTGGGTCTGGCCCTGTCCCAGGCGGTCCCCGCAGCGAAGATAGAAAAATCGTTGGAGAAGGAGGATCTGAAGATCGAGGAGGGCGGTGAGGATCAAGACAGGTCGAAGAAGTCGATAGTCTGCCTGGACTCGGCGAGCCTGCTTCCTCAACAGCAGACCTACAGCATCCAGGCGGCCCCCCAACCCCCCGTACAAACGTTCAACATCCGGCCCGTACCCCAACGTATCCAAACGTTGAACATCCAAGCCGTTCCACAACCTGTCCAAACCCTCAACATCCAACCTGTTCCCTCCCCGATCCAGACGTTGAGCGTGATCCAGCCACCGATCCAACCCCAGGCCTCTTTGAAGGTGGTCCAACCCCCTCAGCCCCCTTGCCCCCCCGCCCAAACGAACGTGAACATCATCCAACCACCGAAAGAGGAGAAAGCCGTGAAGCCAATTGTCGAGACCGTGATCGAGAAGGAGAAGATCGTGAAGCCTGAGCCCAAGCCGGAAAAAATGATCGTGACGAAGGTGGAGAAGGAGGTGGTGCCTGTGATGCCAGTGTTCGAGGAGCACATGGTCGTGGTACCCCAGAAACCTGTCATGATGGTGGCCGAGCAGGAACCGGTGGCCACCTTCCTCAAGGTGCCTCACTGCCATCACTGCCAACAGTCCGTGATGCAGTGCAGCTGCAAGCAACAAGGCGTGCCCACTCTGGGCTCCGCTGTTATGGTTGAGCCGTCCATACGCGTGATGGGCATGAAGGAACGATCCATGGGCAGACACGTGATGACCCCGGCGCACCATCATTATCGTGGCCTCGAGCGTGTAAGTTGAACTTGTTGTTGATTTTCTTTTTCTTTTTGTTTCGAGTGGGAGGAGAAAAGATAATTAATCAAAGGATTTTTCTCTTCTTCTCGTTTTATATAGCTCTGATGTGGAAGAATCCAGAGAGAGGATATCGAAACGTGGACTTAGTTAATAGTAGTAAATGTAATCAAGAATATATAAATGTGAAAAAATATGAATAAAATTCGATGAAAATATATATATTTTTCAATTCTTCTCTACGCAATTAGACCAGACCAAAAACCTTCCAAATTGATCAAATTATATATCGATGTGTTGAAAAGTATAAATCAGAAAATGGTTTAATTATTTAATTGATTCAAACGATTGATTCCACGATAAAGGCAAGTTTTAATAATTGAGCGTTTAATCAATGGAAACCAAGTTTAATAATTAATTGCGATCACACGTGGAAATTTAATGATAAGGTAACGATTAATAATCGAATGTTTCAATTTGTATTCGTTAATTAAATTAAACGTTATTTTCTATTGCATCTAATTGCACCTAATCCAATTACGAATTTTGACCAAAATAATTACGACGGAGTTCTCTACATCGTTGCACGATTCTTTCCAAACAGAAAAGAGTCATAATTAAAATTCTCCAGGCTGACAGCCTCCCGGAGAAAGGATCCATTTACCAAAACTCGACGAATATTTGAAATCACTTACACCTTGAAAAATCGACTATCACCGACGATTTATCACGTTACGTCCAACGAAATGGACCATGATCCCTTCTAAAGAAACGTGTTAAAGCGCACCCAATAAGAGACTCATTTTGTACGAATATTCGAATTATTCAAGTTGTCGATATTACACGAGAACGAGAATTGATTATCCTTTATAATTATATTTTACATAACGATATTAAACCAACCACTGATATTCTAATTTGCATTATCCGCATTATTTTTCTAATACGAATTTGATTGGATAATGGACAATCGATGTCGTATTTAGCATTAATATCGAACTAGTTTAGTTCGTTTCCGTGTATATCATTATTAAACAACGTTTATCTATTATAAATATTAACTATTATATATAATATATTATATATTATATTATATAAATATGCAACTATAAATTTTTCTTTTTTTATATATCGTAAAATCGATTTGTCGATATATATCTTACAACAGAGAATTAGAATTAATTAATGAAAAGCGTCACGGATGAGAAATAAATGGATATAGATTTGTAAAATTTCTATCGAAATTGGACGAGATACGATAAATAATGAAACGTCAATTTGCACTAACCTCTTCGAATTTTGCATGCCCATAATTCGTTTCATGGGCTGAGAAACGCGCCCAGATTTCTGGAGGACGGCGGTTCACTTGTTCACGACATTCAATAATTAACCGTGGAATTTTAAAGGTTCATACCGGCCCGAAGGTTACGTGATGCCGTGTTTATTATTTTCTGCGAGCGACGCGAACGTATCCGATTAACGCGCCATAGATGGGCGCAATCTTTTGTCCTGTTGGCGAGGTTAGATAGACTCCTCTGTTTTCGAGTATGCATTGTGTATTCTCTTGCTATCGGATAAACGCCACGTTTCGTGAACAACACTTTTGAAATTGAAATTATATATTTAGTTTGATATATTTGGAAGAAGGTTATACGTTTGATAAAATTTGATAAAATTTATTTCGACAATTATTTTTAATTAATCTCGAGTGCTTTTAAGCTGGAATTTAAAGATATATCTTGTGTGATAATGAAAGTATAAAAATTATTCAAAATTTGATTAATAAAATTAATCGGAAATTATAATATAATATATTTTATGGGTTATATGTTGCTTGTGAAATTTTAACAAATATCAATAATTATTCTTAACAAATCTTGGTTAAAATTTAAATCATTGCTTTAAAGATAAAATATAAATTATTGAAATTTGATTACTTATAATTAATTCTATGATATTTTGAAAATTTGAGATTATATTTTTAGAAATATTGTATATAAAATTCTGATAAAATTTCAATAATTATTTTTAATACGTTTTGCTTGCGTTATAAAATATTTATAATATAAATATAAATTATATCAAAATTTAATACTTTACTTTTTATTTAATAATAATGAAAATTATTCGATGTAGTATTAATTAATTAATTAATTAATTAATTAGTTTAAATTAATTTTCTTCTCATAGAATTCAAAAACTATTTAACGATCCATCGACTTGTGCGGAAATGATCAATATCCGAAGTGAAGCCACAAGTTTGTATTTAATCATTAACTTAAGGAAATTGCTGGAAATTGCGGGATCACCGATGCACTCAAAATATCCACTGGATATATTGCATAATAATTATATTGAATAAATAATTTACAATTAATTTATTTAATAATTTTTTAATCATATTTAATAAAATTTACGAATGCCAATGAAATTATAATAACATGATTTTTGAAATAAATCTGTGAATTTTATTAATATTTTTAGGAAAAATCTTTTTTATATGTTACGTATTAAAACACAAAATTCAAACTTTTTAATATCTTGCTCCTCTTGATTATTACATTCATGAAAATTAAATTTAATTATATATACATAAATTAATTAAATTAATTCTATATATCTACAAAATATATTAACATATTCATGATCGATCCACTTTTTGATCTAATATTTTAGATTTCAAAGTAAAAGTTGATAAACAAAAATTTCAATTCAGATATTTAATTAATAACCAATTGAAGTTTGCATTAAACGAAGCGAGATGAAACTTCTTCTATTCTCGTCGCACCACTGCTTCGCTCTCTATCTTCGTCTCCCTTCATCCAATGCAAACTTCAATTAGAAATAACTAAATAAACAAACCTCGATCAATATTTTTGCACATCAAAACTTTTTACGTTCGTCTTATCTTTCAAAATCGATTCTGTAAATCATGTATTCTATATCATGTATAATATTAACATCCTGTGTGATTTAAATCTTCTACATTATTATACTATTATACTATTATTCTCCTAAGAGTAATTGCGCGACACAACCTAGATGGCGGCACTATGAAATCTCTCTAGTCTCGAATTTCACTCTGTTCTTTCTCACTATTCCGAAACAATCCGTTCCAACCTTGGTCTCGTCTTTGCATCTCCTTTAACACTCCGGCGGGAGCAGAAAGCGACGATGAAGATGTAGCTTCATCATGAGCCGAAACGGATGAACAGGATATTGATGCTCTATCCATGAAATCAACAAGAACCAGCGACAAGAACAGTTTCTCAACTTCTCGGCCACATACATGTGAAGAACAGAAATGTCGATCTTTTGCGTGAGATGATTCTTCTCTTTCTATTTTTTTTTTCATCTTATTTATAGCATAGATAGTTACTTGCGTTTATCTTATTGGACGAGTTGGAATATGCACGACCAAGGAGACAAGTTTTTAGAGGTTATGTAGAGCAAACTTTGAACATAGTGTACCAGGTGTATATGTTTTTATCGACTTGCGTGCAATATCTTTAAAACCTTTGACGATATCGACAAGTTTTGATGGTGGATTTAAGGAAAACTGATTTTATAGGATTAGATCTTTGTATAGGAGATCCAGAAAAAGGTAATCTTAACTATTATAATAATAACTTAGTTTGAAATTAAAAGAAGTTTCTGTGAGAATATTAATTTTGGTATAATTCTAAATATATGTATCAAAAGTGTTAATCAATTAGTTACCATTAACGATTCTTATTTGAAGATGATTAAAAGAAATTTTATAGAATCTTTCTTTCAAGTAAATTGAATTAAACGAATTTTAAATAACAGCTAAGCTCTAACAAAACCTAAGTATTTCTAAAATATTTCAATAAAAAATTGAAAATAAATTTTTCAAATAAATTATATTAAATTTTTTCAACAAATAAAAAACTCTAATAATCTAAATTTCTAAAATAATAAAAATTTAGAAACATTATAATTTAGAAATGTTTCAATAAAATATTAGAAGCATAATATCATCTAAAAGATTTATTAAATTGATCCTTATATACGTGTAAAATCATGTATATGAAGAAAACCATAATTCTTCATTTAATACTCGACTCTATGAATTGTAATGATTTCTCAACATGCAACTATGAATCTACTGTCTCTTTGGTCGTATCAATATCAATTTCGTCCTGGATAAATGCATAATCCCGGAAATATTAAACATGATTGAAAGACAGCATGTAAAATTTTCTTCTCCAAAGATTCCTCTTCTCCATTCCTTTATATAATCTTCGATTTAGGCGTTAACGAGTGTGATCGAATTCGTGATATTAGTGGCAATAACTGGAATTTTGGCCTCTTTCGCTGCCGTGTTGCGTTTGATGGAGTTGACCATCAACCTGATTCATCCTCTCACCATTCTCATGCTCCGCCAATCTGGTAAATTAATCGTTGTGAGTATTAAAATAAAATTATTTGAAACGTTTTTTCGGGAATAAATTCATTTTCTTGCGTGAAACGAAGAGAAAAAGAGAGAAACA